CCCAAAGAGAGAGAACAATAAAAAATTTAAAAACAGTGAGAAATATAGCATGTAATAAGAGCTGAAAGGTGATTCCTTGAGTATTAATTACCATTATTCTTATCTTGGGGAAAGGAATGATAAACCATAAGGCCAGGCCTTGCTCAGCTCTATACCTAGCACCAGCTTGGGCATGATAAAACCACCACTCCATAAATGGAACTTATGAGCAAAAGAAAGAAGGGAAAAAGTTCTTACTTTTTCATAAGTATTATATCTCAGTATTATCAACTTTATTACCAAGGCGAAAAGTTCCTGTGAAATTAGCTTGAAAGTCAATTTTCCTTAAAATCTCTTAATGACTAGGAAGAAACTTTTAAGAAATAAAGTTAATGGAGGTGTGGTAGTTTCAGCATCACAACAAAGATCATACTTCACCCAATTAAGAGAGCAATTGTCAATGGAACTCAGTGTTCACCACACCAGGAATGTAGTCTTACACTCCACCAACTTGAAAATGTATTATATCTTAAGATTTCTAATCACACTCATAAAAATCCTCCACTTCAGCTGACGAGCTTAAAATACTGCAAGAGTTAACTGAAATGGGATCTGCATGTTTTTCTTCTTACCTTTGTAAAATGAAGGTTGCCAATGAACTGCATTTACCCAGTTTTCATGACCAGCCAACACAGTCTCCAGAGTATTTGCAAATGTTATTTTACTACCTACAACAAAAGCAATGAAGGTATTTTTTCCCTCAAATATCTGCTAAAAAGAATTTATGCATGACCAATTCAGTTGTGCAACTACATTTAAAAATTAGAATAAAACATAATAGATGAGATTCAACAAAAAGAACCAATATTCTAAATTTTATTAACCTTACCAACTCTCCAAAATAATAAGAGATAAAGTTTTAAAAATGAATTTCTCTCTATCTGGTCAAATATTAAGGAATGTTTTACTAAAAAAAAAATTTTTGAAACAGCTGTTACACAGTGATTATAAAGCAAAAACATACACACTATAATTGTATTGAAACATTACATGCACAATTTTTATGATTTTTTTGTGTCCATTTAAAAATTAGGGCTGGGAGCAGGGCACTGTAGTACATGCTTGTTATCCCAGCTCCTTGGGAAGCTAAAGTAGGAGGACTGCAAGTTCGAGGCCAGCCTTAGCAACACATTGTCCCAAAATAAAAAATATTCAAAAAAGGGATTGGTATGTAGTTCAGTGATAGAGTATGCTGGGTTCAATACCCAGTACTGCTAAAACAGTACTGGGTACTGCATGTGCAAGGACCTGGGTTCCATCCCCAACACAGCAAAAAAATAAATAAATTTAAATTTAAATATCTACATATACAAATATATTTTTAAAATATTTATTTTTTAGAAGTAGTTGAACAATACCTTTATTTTATTTATTTTTATGTGATGCTAAGGATCAAACTCAGGGCCTTGGACATGCTAGACGAGCACTCTACTGCTGAGCCACAACCCCAGTCCCTACATATATATATTTTAAAAGCAAACAAAGAAAGGCCAGCCTCCTTGTTTCCACACTCCTTATCAAGATACCACCTAAAATACCATTTTTAAAAAATAAAATAAATGCAGAAACAAGGAACATTAATTAAAACAAAATAATTTAAGATAATTTAAAACAAAATAATTAATGAACAATTTTACATTTGGGTATAGCTACTCATAATATTCTGGTCATATCATTAATTTGCTATCCTCACAAAACTCTATACCCAAATTTCAACTCTAATAGGCTTTATAACCGTATACCTAGGTGAATAATGCTTACTGAGAACTAATTTTATAATCTAGATACGCATGTAAA